AAAATTATTTATATTAATGATGTCTCCGAAGTTTAAGGAACTATTCGCAGAAAAATAAGTTATTAGAAATCGGCCGCGATTTGCTGAGCTGTTCCGCAACGAAAACAATGTTGAGCAATGGCGATGTCGAATGGTGACACTCGGTAAGTAATCCTACAATTTTTTGTTTATAGCATAGTTTATACGGATTATTCCCAAAAAATATATACATATTTTGGAAATGTTGAGTTGGATTAGTCTAGAATCAATTAATTTTATGAAAGAAAATCTTTCAAACAGCCGTAGTCTGTAAACTTGACACGTGTCGGGTTGTGATTGGAAGGATTCGTAAGAAATCGGATTCCTAAAGAATGGAACGTATCTCTATCTTATAGGGGGGGTCGACTGTATACAGCAGATTAATCTTATAAATAATTTTGCGAATCAGAAAAATATATAATTGTCGCGAAAACCGAATGAATGACTGTAATGAGAACGAAGAATACTGTAAATTTTGAATAGCCTCTGAACATTGTACAAGAATCGGATTTTATGTCAACTGAACTTTGTGTTAAAGAAATAAAACTTACAGGTCCTAGGCACTTTTTAATGTTTTAAATATAACCTTTTTTTTTCTGTTTAAATTATTTCTGGATTGCAAAACAGTACGAGAATTATTTTTTTTAGAAGTGTTGAACACGGGGGATTGTGTTAACCAATCACATGGCTTCTTTTCCACCTTTATTTATTTCAACTAAATAAAGGTGAACAAGAATTATTGTTACTGCAAAAAAAGCAGAATTTAGTATCCAACATTCCTAAAACAAATATCACTCTTAGAATGTACAGTACATGCCAATCAATCTTAGGATCAAATTCTGAAGGAAAACAATCTTTTTCAGCATTAAATCACATTACAAATCAGTTCAGATCTAATTTGTCTAAAACATTATCATATTTATCTGTACTTTCCATAGAAAGTGAAATATTAAAACAGTTGCCAGCTGTAAAAGTTATTAAAGATTTTGCATGCAAAAAGTGTAGAAAGGTCTACATAAAATAAATTGAGGAAAAATTTAATGTTTTATTTTAATTTCCATAACTTCTGTTTTCCTGATTGTTAATTTCATAAGCCCTCGGCACTGTGCCTAATAGATAACACAGACTAAATGTAACTGATGAAAAGATTGGATTCAACTATTAAGAATTGGCAAAAAGTTTCCTGATTGTCCAGCTTTACATGAACAAGTTATGCTGTCAATTTATAAGATTTTTCCTTAAAGTTTATAACACCAGTAATTTTGTGTGGGACAGACCTTCAAAGCTGATGTTTGAACACAAAGGGCACAAATATGTATAGAATGATCTTAGTTATTTGTTTCAACAAGCCACATAACATGATTTGCCCCGCTAGCAATAATTGTTCTCCTATAAAATTTCTCAATAAACAACCATAAGCAGGATATATCATTATATCAAAGAGTAACATGATTAATTTTACATTGACTAGTTACAAGTGACCCAGATAAAATAGCCATTTGGTAAAAATGTAGCACCCTCTATAGTTCATGAATAATGCAAATTAACCAACTGTAATCTGAAAAATTTCATTATAACATGTTTAACATGCTATCATATGAGAAACGATACTGTCACTTAACAGGCTTTGCTTCTGAACTCCAAATGTCAAAAAGGATGCACATTAAAATCAGCTAAATACAGTAACAGCATCTTTCCAAGAGAGACTTGGTGACATTTTGCAAAAATAGTGATAAACAAAAAAGTGACTTTTAGTTAAAATAGTGACAATTCCAAACCTTGGAATCACTGTAAACTGCAAGCATTACTGAATTGTAGAAAGATTCTACACTGTTTATTTGGGCTATGTGATGCTTAGAAACCATGTTATGCTCAGACCGCCAAAAAAACTGCTGAGTACTATCCAGGGTTACCAATTGCTTTTTGGTGAATCCCATAAGACGGCACTTAAAAATAAGCTATTTACTATTGAAAAAAGCTAATTTTTTCATTAAAAAATTTAATGTCACATACAGTGGTACCTCAGTATAAGAAATTAATCCATTCCGAAACTGAGATTGTATCATGAAAATGTCGTAAGGTGAATCAATTTTCCCCATACGATTACATGTAAAACTAAATAATTTGTTCCAACACGAAAAAAACACTCAAATTAAAGCTAAGTAGTACATTAAAAACAAAATAACTATAGTAAGGAAAACACTGAAAAATGTGTTTTATAGTTGTAAATGTATAAATAACCATAATAGAATAATAATTGATAAAAAAAAAATGTAGTATTATTTGCACTTTAGCTTTGAGGATAGACAACGGTGGAGGTGTAAATTGGTGGCGGAAGAGAGGGAGAAGGGAAATGATACTAAAACTTAACTTACATAACATAATGTAACAATACTTAGAAAAGATAAAAAAATTATTGTTGTTTTTATATATATATACATATATATATANAATTTTTATTCACTGCTTTTTGCTTTCTTTCCTTCACTTCCACCAGCACTTTCACTGGATAGAGGTTGCTTGGTAAAATATCTATCCAAAGAGATTTGGCTTTGCCTACTTTTTAAAATGTTTCTAAAATGACTTAGGCAAACATCATTACTCCGAGTGGCAATATGGCCAGTGTGAACCTTTTCGGGATGGTTCTTTTCAATAAAATCGGTCACTTTCTGATAATACCTCGAGATTTCCTTTATCGAGTGAGATCCTTCCACAATGAAGCAAATGAGCAGACTGAGACCAATGAACAGAAATGAATAAAAAATGGCACTGTGAACTAATGTAATGTCATATGGTGAGTTTTTGTTCGTATCGTGGAGCAGAAATATGTTCGAATTTCATGTCGTATCCCGAAAATTTCATACGCTGGGGCGTTCGTATCCCGAGGTACCACTGTAAATCAAATTCTTCATCTTTCTCGAAACATAGGAGTAACCTTAGTAATTATTATACTTAAATTTCTAATCAACACGTCTGACAATCTTGAATCATTGTGAATGTCATGTGACAATGACATGCTCATTCAAATTGTTTATGTCATTACCTTTAGCATTATATGACACATTATACTCTGCAGTAATAACTTTTTACCCCTTTTCTGGGTTTAATACCAAATTCCCTGGCGGTTTCTGGTTTTCCCAGTTTCCAGGTCCATTGGACACTCTGTTTAAATAGTAGAAAAACTAAAAATAGTTTATAATTTCAGTATTTGATTCTGAAGAGTGAATTTATTTTTCAAACATATAATTAAAAAATTATGGATGCCTGGAAGGAGTCTAATTATTTTAAGATTTAACACAAAATAAATTCAAGAGTAAAATGCATGAAAGAATTTGCAAAACTGAAAATTCTTGCGAATTCTTTACCATATTTGGTAACTTAACATCAACAGTTAAGTTTGCATTATACTTTTGAGTAAAATAAAAATACATTACTTAAATATTGCATTATTATTAATTAAATTAGTGTATTAATAAATATTTATGTTATGATGAAGTTACCTAAACTCTGCATTGCTATTCTGTTCTCTTGAACAGAAGTGGCATGATGCATTTTGTCAGACTGCGAGAATGTGGACAAATTACCGGTCGGAGTCAGATCATCTTGCGTTGTAGTATTAGTACTATAAAATAAAAGCGTATTAATGATCTACTTTAAAAGTAATCAGAAACTTAATTGAAAAATGCATTTAATTGTAACTCTTAATGTGACTTCTCAGGAGATTAAAAAACATTTCACTTTTAAAACTTTTTGGAAGCTTTCTACAGGGTATCTGTAACTTTAATTTATTCTGCACATTAGAGTAAATTTATGAATGTAGAAATTGTATGCATTTGTAATAATAATGGCTACTTTATCACATCACAACAAATGCCAAAAGTCTTCCTCCTACCTGGAAACATAACTTTTTCAACACATGCAGTAGCAACATTTCTGGTGCAATCAAAATAATTGCTTCTGTAGTGTTATGTTTCAATTCACGCAGAATATGTGAATTATTCTCTATACTCTGTCCTTTCAGAATTCACACAGAAAAAAGTTGGGGATGTCAAATCTGGAGATCTTGGTAGTCACAAATTTTGGGAAATTATGCAATCTATAGACAAGTTTCAAAACGTCTCTCTCTTTTTTTCTAGCAAATTCTTTAATTAAATCAAATAAACTAATGTTTTCAGCTATTTTAAATGGCCTTCTTCAGGTTAAGCATAATTGGAATGTCAGTTAGAACATAAATTTGAAACACTGAAATTCCCTCACATTCTTATGACATCATAGTTTTACAAAAAATTTGTTCCAAGTTTAAGATTTCCAAATGTTATAATACCATGATGTCATAGGAAAAGGAGTGAATGTCAAAGTTTTAAATTTTGTTTTAGTGATGTTTATTTTTATTTTGCACTAGGTTTGTAATTGTAATTTTGTTTATTTCTGCATTTATTTATTTAATTAATTTCAAATTTTCTTATAAAAGCATGATGTCATAAGTGAGTGAATCTCAATGTTTCAAATTTATGTTCTAACTGATGTTCCAATTATGCATAACCTGAAGAAAACCATTTAAGATAAATCAAAAGAACTAACATTTTTGGCTAATTAAAGAACTTGCTAGGAAAAAAAGGTGTTTTAAAACTTATATACAGAAGTTCTAGCTTAAAGCACATAGAGTTGCAATTTGAATAACTCATAATATTGTCATTGTGCCATTGCCAGACTGGTGTCATCATGTCACCAAACTCCTATTTCCCCATCTCTCATCCACTGTACCAGTATCTTGGCACAAGGCATGCACAGTCATCTTATTGGACACAAGAATGACAATCTCCTCCTTCACTTATCTGTAAACATATGATTTTCAGCAGAAATTCATCTCCAGCAATGAAACATTATTCTCACAAAAGACTCATGCTAGACTATGGCTCACTCTTGCAGTCCCTGCACTAATTTACTGTTGCTCCATTGGTATATTAAATTGTGAAACCATGTTCCCACCCATTAGCACAACAAATTATTCAAAATCTGAATTGGGAAACTTTACAGATACTGTACATTTTCAGAAACTTTTAACTAATTTACTATATCACAACTACCTTTAAAATCCAGTCCAACATTTAATTAAACAATATTTCTTATAATTTGATTAATTAATTAAACATTAGACTGGATTTTAAAGATATTTGTGGTGTTATAGTAATTAGATGTCCAGTTTTAAGAGGCTACCATAACTGATTTATTTGGATTCAAAGCTTTTAGATTCTTATTCAATAGTGCTAAGCTCTATTACATGATGCTGACTACTTAGAAGAAGAATTAGCTCACATTCAAAGAATAGTGATGTCTTTTGGCTAAAAAAATCAATCATTATTAACATTAATAATAAAGTATTTGACCAAATGGAAGAGAATCAGACAGGACAATACAAGGATGCAATATATTTAAAATGAAAAAAAGATGATGACATTAATAAGAGACAAGATGTTGGCAAAATTCTAAGGATTACAAATAGCAAGAGGAAAAAGTGTGTTTGAAAGGTAGATCTATAAATTTGAGTAATTAAGTCAGAATAATGTAGTACAGTACAAAAATAATAATAAATCATCAAAAGAGTACAGTCGCAACAATAGATAAAAATATGCCAAGTCTACAAATGCAAGCACATCTTTTATTTATTTTTGTTAGTTTAATAATATTACAGAAGAAACAATGATTGAATGATTCAATGTACTCATTATCGACAAAGACGACAAGTTTTAAATGTTAAAAATTAATGTTCAATTGTTCAATTAGTTTATAAATTGATTAAAAGCTACCAAAAAACTTTTAAAAAAAAAACAATGTTTGCAAATTCCTAAAAAGCTGACAATTACAAAAACAGTTTTGTTTTCATTTTAACTTATTCCAATAAATAAAGAAAAAATCCTATGACAGTGTTTATAGTAAAGAGATTAAACTATGCTCAAAAGTAGATACTCACAGATATATAAATAATTAAACTTACTCTAAAATTGAATAATCGCAGTTAAAAATAATTGAAGATTGAAATTTTGGAAGATTAAACTTTGTACACACCGGTTATAGGTTCAAGTAGGTCATATTTTGCTATATACAACCTAGTGTGCGGTTGCTGTTTTATAAAAATAATTGAGACAAAATATAAGCAAATTTTATAAAAAAAATTAAGAAATGAAAAAAGTTGATTAAGCAAGTTTACAACATTCTAAAAAATTATATTTATTTTATTATATTCATTAACTGTGTTGTAATAAAGTTTACAGTTCATTTTCATTCAGAGGTTACATCTTGCAGTTGCTTCAAGAGAAAATTTTGACAGAAATTTTCAAAAAAAGATAAACTGCAAAATATATCAACATCTAATATCTAAATAAAGATAAACTGTAAATTCTACTACAATAAATAATATTAATTAAATTTTTTCATGAAAATTATGTTCAATATATTAGTAAATTTAAAAAATACTTTTAAATTTACTAATAAACACTAAATCACTTTTGGTGATCTAAACTTTACACATTGCTTTGTGATGCTCTTTTAACTATGTTACAATTTATAAGAATTTTTCAATTTAAACAATATTAGTTATATATGTGTTATGGCCGCCGTTTGATGCACTGTTCCATGATGAAAACAAGCTTTAGCAATGGGCGTAGGCAAACGGTGCACACTCAGTAAGTAATCCTACAATTTTTTGTTTATAACATAGTTTATACGAATTATTTCCAAAAAAATATACGTATTTTGGAAATGTTGAGTCGAATTAGTCTAGAATCGATTAATTTTATGGAAGAAAATCTTACCCGCGGGCTGGACACCCAATTTAAACTATTTATCATTTTGTGTACTTTGTAAATTTTTGGAAAAATTTTGTGTAAGCTTGGGATAAATTTTGTACGTTGAAAATATTCTGCACCCTTTTTCATAACTTGTATTATACCACACTACTTCTTCCTGCCTGCAGACTGTTACACTTAGTCAAGCATATTGTCATCAAAAAATCAACAAGGCAGCCAAGGAAGGAAGTTCCCTGACTTTGGGAATTTGTTAAAAATTGTCAAAAACATTCCATGACTATTTCTGAACACTAATGAAAAATCCCTGACTTTCCAGGTGTGTAGTAACCCTGTATATTATTATAGCTGAAGATATCTAGCGTGGGTATCTGAACCTTGCGACTCAGAATATACCTGGAAAAAAGTTGTTCTCTTTGCTTCAGTTCCTTTTCTACTTTAACCTTTTCCTTCCTCATCTCTCTTTTTGCTGACTCTATTTCCTCCAGATTTAACACACTCCTCTGGTGTAGCTCTCTACTGTTGTGTTGGCTCTTTTTTTTCAGAGTTGACTCTCTTTCTGAATGTTGTGTTCAGTTTCCTCTCCTCCTCTGTCTTTCTTGATGTTTTTTGTCATTTCCTTTTTCTGACCAATCATGAATTTATTCTGGAGCAAGTTGAGATAATGATAGATAAGCTTGATTGATTATTCTTAGTCCTCCTCTCTTGTCTATTATGAACTGTGTGTATCCACATGATGTGTATAAAGTAGCAGCAGTCACCTAATACTACTGAAAAAAGGGAAAATGACGGTAATCCCCTTCATCTTTTCCTCAAATGCTGCGAGATTAATAATAATTAATTGATACAAATTAGAAAAAAATAAACAAAATTCCTTTACAATGCTTCTTGACAACAAACAATCCCAGTGTTGCATTCACACGTTTATGAGGTGTGGATGCAAAGGGTGAAAGCTAACAATTGTTTGATGAATAACCAGACAGAAAAAAATAATATATAGCAAATACATATATAGTTGAAAAACAATAACATTTCCAACTTATTATTTTAAAAAATTACATTGTTAGCTTAAAATAAGTTGATTAAAATTATAATGATGATGATAATAATAATTACAGAATATATATATAACAACCTCCAAAATTTTGGGGAAATAGTGGGCCTCACAGCGTGTAAGTGAATCTATTAATCTGTAGAGTTAATAGTAAAAAAAAAAAAGTGTGTTAAGAATCATTAAGAAACTATTATTATTTGATGGAATCATTCTTTTTCTTAAAATAATATACTGATACAAAATTCATATAGCATGTTAAAACCATTAAGCTTCTGATAAATAGTTGATCCTAATTCCATAAAATAATAATAGTTTCCTAATTATTCTTAAAGCAATTTTCTTCCTTTTTTCAATAAACTTGAGAATATTCATAGATTCATATGTGCATGATCAGCAGCCATATAAAACTTTAAATGCTCATAACTCCTAGGTGTATCTTTAAAAAATAATATTTTAAAGTTTACTTTTTGATGTAGAATTGTAATATTCAGTAAAAAATGTGGGTTACTCATTTAAAGAAATTAAATTCATTGCATTTTTGCCATTTGTGGGAAATCCAATAGTGCAATCTTGTGGCTCTTGTTACAAATTCTGTAACAATTTTTGTACAGGGGACACATTGAAAGTTTCTGGATACAATGGTCACATTTATTATTAATTTCTGTCCATTTTCATATCTTCTCAAAGTATGATCCCTGATTCTTGACACATCATTACATTGGGGGAGAACCAGCTCTAAAAACACTGACACCAGTCTTCTTCTGAGATGTCTTCCAAGGTCTCTCTGT